GTCTACGACTCGACGGCATTAAACAACAACAACAACAACAACATTTCATCCTTGCAGTAAATTTGAAGAAGAGACTCCTGTATTAAATATAAACTTTAAATATTTCTAAACCACCAGAAAAGGAGTATACATCAAAAGTAAACATGATTATGCTCTCTAAGTAGGAGTTCTTGGCAATGTTTATTAATGCTTTCAAGGGCAGTTATTGCACTCATTCAAACTTAATCTGATCTTCTTATTTTATTTGTTTAAACTGAGCCAGACTATTTGTATTTGAAGACTTGAGACTGTTGTTATGTGCCATCAAGTTGCTTGCGACTCATAGCGACCCTATGTACAACAGCCCTAAACTCTACTCTGTCCTTTGCCAATCACACTGTCTCCGACTCTCAATTCTGGTTGCACATTACAGTGCCCTGGAAAATTTTAAAAACACTGAAAACTTGCCCCATCAGAGATCATCTTGCAGAAAATCACCACCAACACCACTACATTAATGAACAAAAACCCATCTACAACATCTTCTCGCGTTTAAAAAAAAAATCATTGTATAAATTGCTGCAGTTGTTTTGGTCAAGACTGCCTTAATTCATATCATTCCAATGTATAAAAAACCAAAACACCGTTCACATCCTTTTTAAAAAAAAAAAAAAATTATTGTGTGTGTACCGTCAAATTGGATCTGACTTGTACAGATTTTCCCTCCTTCTCCAGCAGAGTATTTGATGAATTCAAACCTCACACCTCTGGGACTGCAGTGCATCTCCTCTCATGCAATTTACTGCCTCTGACAACTCGCTGGAGGTCAGCTCTGGGGTCAGTTCCTTCATACTCAAGAGCACACAACAACAGTCAGAAGGTCAGCTGTTCAATCAGTTTCTCTGTGGTAGTAGTTTACTTCCATAAAGATCAACTGCCTTGAAAATGACTTTGTCCTAAAAAGTTTCTGTGAATCTCTATATCTACTTGATAGCAATGAGTTTTTCAGATTTCATAAAAATTTCTTATGAAGTATCTATGATTGGAAAAAAAAACAAACAACACAAGCTGGTAGAAACGTTGTAAGCAGTTTACCCAAGTACTAACTACACAGCATTTTTTACTTTTGAGAAATATTCTAAAGCGGTTATAAATGCACAAAGAGTCAAAAGAAATATTTCCTAATCCTACTGACATGTGCGTCTAAGAGAAATATCTCCCAATTAAAAAAAAATTATGAGATTCTCAAGGTAAGATAAAAAAGGACATACAAAGAACTATTTACTGTTCCTAATGCTTCGCCTTTATTATCTGCCCTTTCCGCAGTGCTACGACTAATCCGGGCTCAAATAAATTAAAGCCTCATTTAGGATGTCAGATTATAGGTAAGGAAAAAAACAGGGAGCTGCTACCGCCAAGAGGACCCCCTCCACATTTTCCCAGTATCGCTCCCGTCCTGACACTAATCAAGGGCCTTCCGGGGCGGTTCCGGAGAGGCGCCCTTACCAGTCGCCCCTTATCTGACAGAACGCGGACCGACTGCGCGCCGAAGTACTTGAGCAAGTCCTCTTTCTCCTCTGCGGTCAGCTCCGCGGGAAGGTGCCGCACCAGAAGGGTTCGGTCACCGCGCGGCGGCGAAGGTGAAGAGCTCTGGTAACCTCTTGAGTTGGGCAGGGGCTGCTCGGGGGCCGCCATTTTCCTAGGAGAAAATGCAACAGGGACACCAAGGGAAACTGCAGTGGAAACTGCGGCAACACCAGTAACTCAGATTAGGTGTGTTTTGGCTTGGCGCGAAGCATTCTGGAAACAAGGAAATGCCGCGAGCAGAGATCTCGCCTTCTCGCGAGAATTGAGCTGTGGGTGCCTGACGCTTGTTCGGAAACAGTTTATTTAATTTAAGGGTGAGATACAATCGTTATGGCAAAGTGATGTGGTTTCTTGAGGTATTAAAACAACAAAAAAATCGCCATGAGAAGCGCGAGGATTTAGAAAGTCAATCAAAAAAATGATCTGGAACACAGCCTCGTAAAGAAAGAGGGTGATGGTCAAG